TCACGTGTCCCAAAGAGAATCCTTCTTTTGATTTTTTCCCAGCCATTTAAAAATGTAAAAACCGTGTCCATGGGCCGTGATTCAGCAACCGCCGCTCAGTCATACACCTCCACCCCACTGTAATATCTTTCCTTGCCACCCATCTTCCAGAAGCATATTTAGATATTTGAGTGTTCTTGAAAAATATGCCCTATGCTTGTTTAATTTCCTAAAATGGTATTGTGCTTTAGGGAAAAAAAAAAATCTCATTCTGTTTCTTATTTTTTCCTCTCTACACACTATTTTGGAACTCTCCACCCTGATGTTTATAAATCTGGTTTGTCACTTTTAATGACTGCGTAGATTTCTGCCCTAGGTATGTGCTACACTTTCTTATCTGATCCCCCGCCTTGGTGGGCCCCTGGGTTACTTCCAGCTCCTGGCCGCTTTGAACAGTATGGCGCCATCCTCACATGTCCCCTCTGGTGGGTTTGCTGGGTCACAGGGAATGTACAGCTTCACTCCATATTTTGTCTTATCCTGGACGAGAAAAGTTCTCCCTGTCCACGTTCCCAGCGGCCATGCTTGGTCCTGAAGTGCCCACTTCCCTACATCTGCACTAACATACAGTTTTACCTATCTTTCTAATTTTTTGCGCATTTGACACTGGTGCAAGGTGGTATCTGCTTGTGTTTTCTCGTTTTTGTATTTTTTTTTTAATTGGGGTATAGTTGTTTTACGATGTTGTGTTCGTTTCCTATCTCCTTGTTTTAATTTGCATTCCTTTGATTTCTGGTGAGGTTGAGCATCACCATATAAATTTAACAAGAATCCTTGGTGAGTTGCTTAGTTTTAGCCTTTGTCCATTTTTCTTTGGGCAAGTTTGAGATGTTCCTGGCATATTTCAGAATAGAGGTTGGCAAACTACAGACTGCAGGGCCAAATCCAGCCCACTGCCTGTTTTTATATAGCCCATGAGCTAAGAATGGTTTTTATGTTTTTAAATGGTTGAACAATGTGAAAAGAATAACATTGTGTGACATGAGCAAAATTATATGATATTCTAATTTATTAGAACACAGCCACGCCCATTCACTTATGTACTGTTTAGGGCTGCTTTTGTACTATTTGCAGCAGACCTTGTGGCCCGCATAGCCAAAAATATTTACTATCTGGCCCTTTACAGAAAAATCGTGTTGACTCCTATTCTAGAAAGTAATCCCTTGCCTGTTTTTGGCATTATGACTATCTTCCCACAGCCTGTATTCTTCTGTAGATTAACTTTGTCTAAGAGTTTTTTTTTTTTAACCAAATAGAAATCTTCACGTTGATGTAGTTAAACCCATCGTATTTTTCTTTTTTAAATTTTTGATATTTTCTGCTTTATTGAGATATAATTGACATATAACATTATATCAGTTTAAAGTATACAAATTAATGATTGGATATACGTATATACTGCAAAATGATTACCACAATAGGTTTAATTAACATCCATCACCTCACAGAGTTACAGGTTTTTTTTCTTGTGATGAGAACTTTTAAGATGTCTCTTAGCACCTTTCAAATATACATCAGAGATATCGTGGGTTCGGTTCTAGACCCCCTGCAATAAAGCGACTCACACAATTTTTTGGTTTCCGAGTGCATATGAAAGTTATGTTTACACTGTAGTGTAGTCTATTAAGTGTGCAGTAGAATTATGTCTAAAAAAATAATGTACATACCTTAATTAAAAAATACTTTATTGCTAAAAAATGCTAACCTTCATCTGAGCCTTCAGCGAGTCATAACATTTTTGCAATAGTCACATCAAAGATCACAGGTCACCATAACAAATACAATAATGATGAAAAAGCTTGAAATGTTGTGAGAATTAACAAAATGTGACACAAAGATACAAAGGGAGCAAATGCTGTTGGAAAAATTGTGCCAATAGGCTTGCTCGATGCAGGGTTGCCACAAACCTTCAATTTGTAAAAAAATGCAGTATCTTCGAAGCACAATAAAGTGAAGCCCACTAAAAGAAGGTATGCCTGTATCTTATACCTGGAGGATTGTACCTCTGGACCATCTTTACCCATCCCACCCATCCCCTGCTTCTGGCAACCATCAATCTGTTCTCTGTATCTATGAGGTTTTTTTGTTTTGTTTTTGTTTCTTTTATTCCACATTTAAGTGAGATCACATACTTTTCATATATGGTTAGTGCTCAGAGGGCTTTTTAAAGGGATCTTTCCCCTTCTTGAGGCCACTGATATTCTGCCACATTTTCTTCCTGTAGCTTTGTCATTGTGCTTTCATATTAGTCCTTCGAGTTTATTTTTTGCATAAGGTGTGAGGTAGGGATCCAGCCTCATTTTTCTTGGGCAGAGTAAGCTGCTTTCCCTACACCAACGCACAGAGCTCACCCTTGACCACTGATTTGTGGAAAGCCCTCTGCTTTACCCCAAGTTCTTTCAGACAGGGTCTGTGCTGGAACTCCTTTCCTCTGGCCCATTTCTTCTTGCAACCATGCCCTGCTGCTTTGATTATTGTGACTTTGGGAATATGTGTTACTCTATCATAAGCCAGCTTCCCCATCCCTGCCCATTTTTGTAAAATTAGCTGGCCATGGACTTTTGTTCTTCCTTATAAATTTTGGTAACAGTTTGCTCCATCTCCCAATAGAATAACAATAATAACTGTTATCAGTTTTGTTATTGTTATTTTAGTGTTACAGTGTCTGACCTTGAACTTCTCAAGCTGGAAGGAGCCATGCTTTTCCCTCCGGGCAGAACGGACCATACAGCTGCACCACTTCACTTTTTAATTTTTTTTTCACATTTTAAAAAATTGCGGTAGAATACGTATAACATAAAACTTACTCTCTTAACCATTTTTAAGTGTCCAGTTCAGTGGCAATAAGCACATTCACACTGCTGTCCAACCATCCCCACCATCTGTGTCCAGAACTTTTCCATCTTCCCAAATGATGGCACCCACCATCCTACTTTCTGTCTCTATGGATTTAACTCCTCTAGGAACCTCATATAAGTGGAATCATGCAGTATTTGTCCTTCTGTGACTGGCTTCTTTCACTGAGCATAGTCTGATTTTCTGAGTAACAAACCTCCCAGGTGTTTACATCAGGAGGCCTGAGCTCGGGCAACGGTGAGACTGTGAAGTGGCCCATCTGCCTCCTGATAAATTCCACTCACATAGTGCTTTTGTTTGTTTGTTTGATGTGAATTTATTGACAAGGTTTAAAAAACAATCTGGAGATTCATGTAAAAAACCCGTGTTTGCTCTTGGTTCCCCATGGGAGTTGGAGCTCCCCGCTCAGGAATCCGCCTGGCCCGACTGGGCTGGGGCGCTGTCGGAAGCATTTATGGCCAATGTCTTATCCGTTCTGTGTGCTTTATTTCTGCTGAGTGTTTACTCCCCGTTCTTAGCTCAAGTTGAGTGTTGCCCATGGACTTGAGGAAGTAATTACTGTGGATGTCAAAAAAAGTTAACCGTTAAAGGGAATTAAAATGAATTGGTCTGCAGAGCCCCTGCCCAGTTGGCAGGAAGGGGACATCCTGGAGAAGTGGTGACACAGAAGCCACACGTGGCCTGGCCGGGGCGGGGGTTGGGTGGGGGGAAACTGAGTGGGTTCTGAGACCCGGGCAGCCACTCCAAGTGGCAACGGGACTTTTGTTTCTAGCTCCAGGCTGGTGATCCGGGGCTGGAGCTGTCTGCCAAGGCCACTCCCGTTTGTGCAGTGGGCACCCTTGGGGCCCAGATCCTATAATGTCACCTTTGTTCTCAGACCAAACTGGACGGGGTTTTTTCTAATGATGATAAAACACACATAACATAAAAGTTATCATTTTTGCCATGTTTGAGTGTGCAGCTCAGTGGCATTAAGCACATTCACATTGTTGTGCAACTGTCCCCACCCTCCATTCCCAGAACTTTTTCATTGGCCCAAACTGAAACTCCACCTGGGTGGGGTTTTAGTTTTCATTTTCTAATAGCCCTTATTGTTTCTTTTTCATGATTATTAAAAGGAACACCTGCTTAATTTCTTTTTTTTAATTTATTTACTTATTTATTTTTTGGCTACGTTGGGTCGTCGTTGCGGTGCACAGGCTTCTCATTGCGGTGGCTTCTCTTGTGGAGCATGGGCTCTAGGCGCGTGGGCTCAGTAGTTGTGGCTCGTGGGCTCTAGAGCACAGGCTCAGTAGTTGTGGCACACGGGCTTAGTTGCTCCGTGGCATGTGGGATCTTCCCGGACCAGGGCTTGAACCCGTGTCCCCTGCATTGGCAGATGGATTCTTAACCACTGCGCCACCAGGGAAATCCCCTGCTTTATGTTAAGTAAAGAAGAAGGAAGTGAAATACAAAGTGTTATCTACAGCACAACCCTACTTATGTTAAAAAAAAAAGTATAATATTAAATCTTATCAAAATATAGTTTACAATTCTCTTGAATTAGAAAATGCTCTTCAAGTGCTCTTGATGTGCAGGTGTTGTTCTAAGCTCTCTCCCTCACATTACTGTCTTTAGTCTGCACAATGCCATGATGTAGGAAATGGTGTTTGTCTAAGCACAGAGAGGTTAAGTGACCTGCCTGAGGTCACACAGCTCTTTTGCGGGAGATATGAGTCCCGACCATGACCACTATGCTTGGCTATAGTTTCCAGACAATACTCGGTCTGAAGTCGGAGGGAGTCACAAGCCAGGATTATGGGGTCTCGTAGTCTTCCCTGACCAGCTGCGAGGCAGGCAACAAACCAGGGTTGTAATGGATTCTGCCACTTGTTTGCTGGGTGACCTCAGGCAATCTGTGCGCCTCAATTTCCTCATCGGTAAATAATCCAACTTCTGCATGGGCTGGGAAGATTTGATGAAATAATGCAAGAATTAGCCCTTGGAGCACCTGGCCTGGGGTATGTGACCGCCGCCCCCCCGCCCCCGCCAGGAGGTAGCTATTGTTACTGTTCTTGTTTTGCTATTGTCACCCACAGTAAGCGCCTCTTTTCCTGCCCCTTCAGGTCTCCCACAGACTCCTGCAGAGTCATCCTTGTCACCCCCGGAGTCTGAGGGGGACTCCCTCATGCAGCCAGAGAAGAACACAGGCCTGGTGCCTGCCCACGACGCCACCAACAGAGAGCCTACCAGGCAAGCAGCCCCACAGGAGTCGGAGTCAGAGGAGGCCGGGGGTGCAGGTAAATGGGGGTGGCCACTGAGAGGGTCAGGTGCCAGAGGCCCGGTGTGGGGTCTGGCTTTGAGAGACCCTCACGACACCACGCTCCCTCACCAGGAGGGCCCCCAGCAGGTGTGCCATCCATCATGAAGCAGAAAGAGGAGCCCGCAGACCCCGAGACTCACCGGAGGAGCCTCCAATTCGTGGGGGTCAACGGCAGGTGAGAGAACCTGGTCTGAGCCCCTCACTTTATGGTTCATTCCTTTAACCAAAGCACAGTAGACAGACGAGGAAACGGAGGCACAACGGGGCCCCATGGGCTGGCTCCAGAGCCTGTGCTGCAACCACTGTACCACACTACCCCTCGGGAGGTGCCGGACTCGGCTCCCTGCCCTGATGGAGCTCCTGGTCCACTGCGATCTTGGGCCCTAATAGGCGATCCCAACACAACATGACTGGAGCAATGATGGGGGATGCTCAGGCAGTGGGGGGCCCAAGGAAATAACTGACGGAGGGGAGCACATGTGCTGCAGGACAAGCAGAAGCTTGCGAGGTGCAGAGTGGGAGGGGTGGGGTCTCCTGATGGAGGGCACAGCCTGGATAACGGCTCAGGGGTGGGAGGAAGCAGTGACGTGAAAAATGGGAGGCCTGGGGCTTCCCTAGTGGCGCAGTGGTTGGGAGTCCTCCTGCCGATGCAGAGGACATGGCTTCGTGCCCCGGTCCGGGAAGATCCCACATGCCGTGGAGCGGCTGGGCCCGTGAGCCATGGCCGCTGAGCCTGCGCGTCCGGAGCCTGTGCTCCGCAACGGGAGAGGCCACAACAGTGAGAGGCCCACGTACCGCAAAAAAAAAAAAAAGGGAGGCCTGGGGAACCGGGCCAGTTGGGGGCCTTGAATGCCAGGCCCAGAAGTTTAGATGTGTTTGGAGGTAGCAAGAAGCATGGGGGTCCTATTTGCAGTGGGGCAAGGGTCTGAATCAGTATAACACCTGTGTAAGGAGCAAAGTGTAAGAGGTACCAAAAGGTGGAAGGGAAAAGCAATGTCCCTCCCTGGCCCCCGCAAGCATGATCACAATCATGGCCAGTGTTTGTTGATCACTTACTGTGTGCCAGGTGCTATAAGCTGCATCCCTGGAGCCCTGTGAGCTAGATACTGCCATTACCCCCATTTAACAGATGGGGAAACTGAGGCCCAGAGAGGTCAAGTGACCCTCCCCACCACCTGCAGCGTCTCCCCCAGGTATGAGTCCTCATCCGAGGATTCCAGCACAGCAGAGAACTTCTCGGACAATGAGAGTACAGAGAACGAGGCCCCAGAGCCGGAGGAGAGGGTTCCGAGTGTGGTTGAAGCCCCCCAGCTCAGGCCCAAGGAGACAGCAAAGGCCAAGATCAGCCGGGAGGAGTGCCAGCTGTCCCGGGAGTCTCAGCAGGCGCCCACAGCTGAGGGGGCGTCGGGATCAAGTGCGGAAGAGGAGATCCGGTCAGTTTTCTGTGTGGGAGGGATTTAGGCAGGGTCTGGGGTGACCTCTGCCTCAGATCCCACCATTCAAACCCTCTGAGGGAACCTCCCATCAGTCATGTCCACCTTAGTCTGAATTAGTGAACAAGCACTTTCTCCTTCTGGGCATCTGAAGGTCCGGAGGCTTTGATAAAGGGCCTGATGGGGGCAATTTGGGCTGTTCAGGTTTGGGTTTAAGGGGCAGACCAAGTTTGTCCTTAAGCCATCCACCTTCTTTGGGACATTTGCCACACCTGTCCATCCTGTGTATGTCTCTTTTTTTTTCCCCCTGATTAAAAAAAAAAAAAAATCTGTCCTCAGAGAAAGATTTTCCATCTGCCACTGGCCACTTGGAATAAATTTTGGCCCACGTGTCCACTTTCTCTTGGGGTCTGTGTGCTCCCCATGTCTGCCCCTTGGGGTGCTGTGTAAAATTATGTCCCCAGGGAAGGGGGTCCGAGATTCTAACACTCAGGTGAGCCCTGGCAGGACTGGGTGAGTGCCTTGGTGGAGAGTGTTGAGGGCCTCTCCGAGCACCCCAGCTGGATGTGGGGAGTGGGGGGGCGCCCAGGAGGCTGAGGTGGGTGCTCCCAAGATCAACTCCCCGTTTGTCTGCCACCGGCAGGATGGAGCTCAGCCCCGACCTCATCTCAGCCTGCCTGGCCCTGGAGAAGTACCTGGATAGCCCCAGTGCCCTCACCGAGCGGGAACTGGTATGGTGGGGCCCTGGGCCTGAAAGACGGGGGAGGGCTTTGTCCCTTCCGCCCTCACCCTGGCTTCTCCTTGTGCTTTGGATCATGGGGACCCCAGGATCCTAGCTGGGAGCTTGTGGGGGGCTCCGAGGCTTGAGTCTTGGTCTTTGGAGAGGCTCCAGGGAGGCAGGGAGAGGCTGAGGATGATTGCCCGCCGGCAAACCCAGCCTTGGTTCCTGTTCCTTCGGGGGCTTGAGGGAAGGGGCTGCCATATTTCCCTTGATGGGTGTCTACACTTGCCTTTGAAGGCCACATCCAGGGTGGAGATGCTCACACCTTCTTCTAGGGACGTACCTGGCACTGCAGTGTCTACACTTCCCTTTAGGGTTCTTGTCCAGGGCAGGGGACACTACATTTTCCTCCAGGGGGCTCACTGGGGTGGGGCGCCCATGCTTCCCCTCAAGGCTCGGGTTCAGGGTAGGGTGTCTGCACTCCCCTTGGGGGGCTTCGTCTGGGATGGGGTGGGCTTCCGTGGCCCTCACACCCCTTTCCTTCCCAATCTGCATCCAGAAAGTGGCCTACACCACGGTGCTGCAGGAGTGGCTGCGCCTGGCCTGCCGCAGCGATGCCCACCCAGAGCTTGTGCGGCGCCACCTGGTCACCTTCCGGGCCATGTCGGCGCGGCTGCTGGACTATGTGGTCAACATCGCCGACAGCAACGGCAACACTGCGCTGCACTACTCCGTGTCCCACGCCAACTTCCCCGTGGTGCGGCAGCTGCTCGACAGCGGTGAGCCCGGCGGGGCGGGGCCAGTGGAGACACTGCCCTCCTGGTCTGTGGGGGAGGCCACCCTCATAGTTTGATGGAGGAAATGCTGCCCTCCCTGTCTGATGGGGTAGATGCCGCCCTCTCAGTCTGATGGGGGAGGCGCTACTCTCCCAGTCTGAGGTGAGGGGGATACAGGCCCCACCTGTGGCCCCGGTGTACTGGAAAAGGCAGACATGGTCTTATGGAAAATATGTGGCCCTTCCCTCGCCCCCCCCCCCACACCAATGACCCCTGTATAATGAAGGTGACACCTCTGGAACCCTAGTCTGAGGGAAGGACATGGATGTGGCCTCTGGCCTGGGGCTGGGAGAGAAGATGTGGTCCTCAATTCGACATGAAGAAATTTGCTTTCCCCTAGTGTAATGGGGAAGACATAGCCCCCTAGTCAGTCTGATGAAGGAGGCAGAGCCCACAGTCTCACGGAGGAAACTGACTAGGGACTCTTCCAGATCAATGGGGGAGACACAGCTTCTCCTTTCAGCCCTAAATGTGGGTGCCAGTATCCAGGGGGCCCCAGTCTGATGGAGGAGGCACAGTCTACACCTTTAGGAGCCCCTCCCATAATAGAGATGGAGACCCTAGGCCAGAATGGGGTTCTCAGTCCAAGAAAATGGAGTAATTAGGCCAGGCCTAGACTGCTGGAGGAGGCATGATACCCAGTGTTCACTATGGTCGTGAACAAGGCTTCCGGTCTGATGGCAGAGACCTGGCCTGGTCCTCGGGGAACGCCCCCCCACCCCGAGCCTTAAGGCAGACCTGGCCAGCATCAGGGGTGTCTGAGGCCTGTTGTCCTTCCGGTCCCCTCCCCTCAGGTGTCTGCCAGGTAGACAAGCAGAACCGCGCCGGCTACAGCCCCATCATGCTCACAGCCCTGGCCACCCTGAAGACCCAGCATGACATCGAGACTGTCCTGCAGCTCTTCCGGCTCGGAGATGTCAATGCCAAAGCCAGCCAGGTACGGGCCCTCGGCGCTGCAGACTCTTCCCATTTATTAAGTCCTGGCCATACCCAAGCCCAAGGGGAGAATCCCCACTCCACAGGCAAAGAAACCAAGGCTCAGAGACGTATTCATTTCCTCAAGGTCAAACTAGAGGAGGGGGGACTTGAACCTGGGGGTCTAGCTCCCCATTCTTTTTTTTTTTTTTTTGGCCGTGTCACATGGCATGTGGGATCTCAGTTCCCCAACCAGGGATCTAACCTGCGCCCCCTGCAGTGGAAGCACGGAGTCTTAACCACTGGACCTCCAGGGAAGTCCTGAGAGCCCCATTCTTTTTTTTTAAATCTTATTTATTTATTTTTGGCTGCATTGGGACTTCGTTGTGGTGAGTGGGCTTCTCATTGTGGTGGCTTCTTGTTGCAGAGCACGGGCTCTGGGCATGTGGACTTCAGTAGTTGTGCCATGCGGGCTCAGTAGTTGTGGCTCGCTGGCTCCAGAGCACAGGCTCAGTAATTGTGGCGCGCGGGCTTAGTTGCTCCGCGGCACGCGGGTCCTCCCGGACCAGGGATCGAACCCGTGTCCCCTGCATTGGCAGGTGGATTCTCAACCACTGCGCCACCAGGGAAGCCCCAGAGAGCCCCATTCTTAATGACCTGCCTGCCAGGGTGCCTCTGATACAGGACCTCATAGTGGAAGTGGGGGTGTGGGAAGACATGGGGGTCCTCAGCTTTTCTTAAGCCGACGCCATCCCACATCCTGCTTGGTAATTCATTGACCAGCAACCGGACGCTGGGGACTTAAATGTTTGACAAGCAGGCATGGTCCCCACCCTCCCAAAGCTCACTAGCCAGCCAGGAGCTCCAGGAGCCCAAGCATTGGCAGCTTAGCGGGGGTTTGGACTCAGGGCTGCGGGAAGCCACCAGGGCGGGGGCGAGGGCTGCTTTCTGGTTTGGAATCTCCCTTCGGCTGTATGTTGGGGAGCAGAAGCTGGGAGACTGTGGAGGTGACTGGGGCATGGATGGGTGTCTGGGCAGAAGAGCAGGGCAGCCAGGACCCCGTGGGAACAGCAAGGAGGGGAGAGATGAGCAGCAGCCTTACCGCAGCAAGGGAAAAGGGGGAGGTGCTGCTGTGGTGCATAACAGGCAGACCCTCCTTGCTTTTTTACTGATTTTTTTTTAATTAAAACTTTTTTCTTGGTGGTTTACTTTTTTTTTTAATTGAGGTATAGTTGATTTACAGCGTTGTGTTAGTTTCTGGTGTACAGCAAAGTGATTCAGTTTTACATATATGTTCTTTTTCAGATTCTTTTCCATTATAGGTTATTACCAGCTATTGAATATAGTTCCCTGTGCTATACAGTAGGACCTTGTTGTTTATCTGTTTTACATATAGTAGTTTGTATCTGTTAATCCCAAGCGCCTAATTTATCCCTCCCCCCACCTTTCCCCTTTGGTAACCATAAATTTGTTTTCTATGTCTGTGAGTCTGTTTCTGTTTTGTAAATAAGTTCATTTGTATCATTTTTTTAGATTCCACATATAAGCGGTATCATATGATAATATTTGTCTTTCTCTGACTTACTTCGCTTAGTATGATCATCTCTAGGTCCATCCATGTTACTGCAAATGGCATTACTTCATTCTTCTTTATGGCTGAGTAATACTCCATTGTGTATATATGTACCACATCTTTATCCATTCATCTGTCGATGGACACTTAGGTTGCTTCCAAGTCTTGTCTATTGTAAAAGTGCTGCTATGAGCATTGGGGTGCATGGATCTTTTTGAATTCGAGTTTTCGTCCTTCCAGATGTATGCCCAGGTGGTTTACTTTTTTAAAAATTGAGGTGAACCCTTTTAAAGTGAACAAATCGATCCATAATGCTGTGCAACCCCCATCTCTCTCTACCTCTAGAACATCTTTACACCCTGATAGGAGACCCGGCACCCACAGCTGTCACTCCCATCCTCACTTCCCCAGCCCCTGGCCCCCTCCAGTCTGCTCTCTGTCTCTATGGATTTGCCTGTTCTGGATATTTTATATAAATGGAATCATGTAGTATTGTGTCCTTTTGTGTCTGGCTCCTATCACGGAGCATAATATTTTCAAGGTTCATCCATGTTGCAGTATGCTTCAGGCCTTCATTTCTTTTTAAGGATGAATAATGTTCTGTAGTATGGATATATAAATTTCTTTATCCATTCATCCACTGATGGATGTTGATTTTTTTTTACAGTGAAGTTTAACTGGCAGACAGAAAAGTGTACAACTCTTAGCTCAACACATTTTACTTATGTTTGCACCTGTGAGTTAGGAATCTGATTTAAGTGGGCATAGCGGTGGGGAGGCACAGAGCATCTCCCCGAGGAGGAGACATTTAAGCTGAGACTTGAGGGAGGAGCCAGCAGGGGAAGACGGATCAGCAAGTGCAAAGGCCCAGTGGTAGGAAGGATTATTTGAGATACAGAAGGAGGCCCCCGAGTGGAGGTGCTGTTAGCGTCAGAGTACTCAGGAACGATGGATGGTTCCGGAGCAGGGGTGTCACGCTCTGGAGCCTGCATGATCCATAAGCTGTTCCTTGCCCTACCCAGGCGGGGCAGACAGCCCTGATGCTGGCGGTCAGCCATGGGCGGGTGGACGTGGTCAAAGCCCTGCTTGCCTGCGAGGCGGACGTCAATGTCCAAGATGATGACGGCTCCACGGCCCTCATGTGTGCCTGCGAGCACGGCCACAAGGAGATCACGGCGCTGCTGCTGGCTGTGCCCAGTTGCGACATCTCTATCACCGACCGCGTGAGTCCCCACCCAGGCACACTCCAGGGAGGGCGGGAACATGGTGCAGGGTGTCAGCATAGCAACTGATGCTTTGCAGGACGGGAGCACGGCTTTGATGGTGGCCTTGGATGCAGGACACAGTGAAATTGCATCCATGCTGTACTCTCGCATGAACATCAAGTGCTCGGTGAGTCTCGGCCCCGGGCAGGACAGGGGGTGCGGGGCTCTGGGAAAGGATGGTGTATGGGGACCATCCCAAGGGTTGCATGGTCAGCTGCTTGTTGAACCTTCATGGTGCCCCCGTGAGGAAATAAGACACGAGAGCTGAGACTGCATGGTTATGGCTGGCATCACAGTATTCGAACCCGGATCTGTCTAGTTCCAAATCATGCTCTTAATTACCACACAGAGGACTTTGGCGTGCCTCCCAAGCATGATTTCTGGTACCTTCCACAATAACCCAATTCAGTTGCATAAAGTACTGTTACTATTACCATTTCTCAGGTGGGGAAGCTGACGCTTTGAATGGTTACATTCCTGGCCCAAAGTCTCACAGACAGGAAGGGGCGGAGAGACCTTGGGGTCTGAATCCAGACCACGGGCAGGAGCCCTCTGCCCCCTCCTCTTCACCCCTACCTTGTAGGGCACGTCTGGGGCCAGGTTCAAGGGTGGCGTGGTGGGCGTCAACCACAGCAATTCCCCAAATGGTCTAGGAGAGAAAAGGTTGCTGAGACCAAAGCCATTTGGGTCCTGACTGGCTTCCAGCTTCTTCCTGAGGCTCCAGGTCTTTCCGTCTTCACTCCGTAGGGTGTTAGGACACCTGAGCCTCAGTTGTGGTGCTTAGGGGATCCCCTTGGGATCAGCTGTGGGCCTTCATGTCCTCAGCTGGAAAGTGGGGGTTGACGGGGCCGGGTGGTGTCCTGCTGTCTGATCTGTGGTCCTGCTTCCCAGGGCTCCTGAGGGGTGAATCCCACTCCTCCATCACTGTCCCCCTGGACCATTGCCGCTGCCTCCGCTCTGCTTCCCTGGCTCCCACCCTCACTGTCCCCTCCACTCTGTTCTCCCCACAGCGGCCAGAGGCCACTGTGAACACCTGAGTCGGGGTACATCCCTCCTCTGCTCACAGCCCTCTGTGGCTCCCACCCCACTTAAGAGAAAAAAGCAAAAGTCATCTCCAGAGCCCACCAAGCCCTGCTCAACACCCCTCACCTCTCCCCACTCTCTTTCCTCTCCCCCTCGCTCACTCTGCTCCAGCCACGCTGGCCTGATCGCCGCTCCTGCCTCAGGGCTTTTGCACTTGCTGTTTCCTCTGCCTGGAACGCCCTGCCCCTTGGCTGGACCCCCAACATCCTTCAGCTCAGACGTCACCCTCCCCAACCGCCCACTCTCCACTTTCATTGCCTTCCACCCCTTATCCCTCAGGAAAAACCCTCCACTGCATTCATCTGTGAGCTGCTCCGAAGCATCTCCCCAACGTCACCTCCTTGAGGCCAAGAAACCAAGGCCTCTTGTTCACTCACGGCAGGCGCGGGGCCAGACAACAAAGTCGGCGCCTCATAGCACAGGAAAGGATGCCAAACAAAAGGAATTCTGCCTCTCGTTTCAGTTCGCCCCGATGTCGGATGAGGAGAGTCCTGCGTCATCCTCTGCAGAAGAGTAGCTGTGAGAGGGGCCCGAGGCACCTCTCCCGGGGGGGCCAGGCAGCCCAAGAGCAAAACATCCCTCATCCCCTCCCTGGCCGGCCTCCACTCTGCCCACCAAGGCCCAAGTCTCAAATGCAAGTGGGGTTTTCTTCTGCTTCCCCAGGGAGCCCCCAACAGCTCTGAGACTTCAGCCGAAAGCAGGTTTTTTCCCAGTACCCCGGTTCAAAGCAGCCGCAGCGCAGACCGAAGCTAAATTCTTATATAAATTGGCGCCAGTGGCTGACGCTGGGGTGTGGGTTTGCGAAGAACGCTGAGAACAATCAACTGGCAATTAAGGATGGAGGAGGGTGAGAGGGAAAAATATTGTATTTCTGAATCATGTTCGGGGAAGGGGGGGAAAGTTTGAAAGTCACTGGAATCGCATATTTTCATTTTAATCCTCAATGTGATTACGCACGGATCACGTCTGGAGTGGCCTAATGCGCCCCCCGCTCGCTCCCCTACATTTAATTGTTTGGTATATAATAGCATTTTGTCCACTTCCCCCTCCCCAAATGGCTTTCTTGGTGGAATTTTCTTCTGGTCTCTTCACAAAGCAGACCCTGTCTTTGTCACCCAGGGCAGGAAGTTTAGTTGTTTCTTCTGCCTTCACGTTGCCACTGCCAGCGTCTCCCACGCCCTCATTCAGGTGGGGGGCTCAGGACCCAGCAGCCAAGGTGTGCAAGTAGCTCATATCGAGAGATTACCCAGAAATCCGTCCCCTCCCCACATGGGGGCCCTGGCAAATACTCATTTTCCTAGAAAATCCTTTCGATGTGGAGATGCAGGAAATGAATCTGGTCCCCAGAGTGGTCCCAGCATCCCTAGGCTTAAAACGCCAGTAGCAGGGCCATCCTTTTTCTCCGCAGACTCCAGAATTTCTCTCCTCAAAGGAGAGAAAACAGGGCATTGAGATTGTTGGCAAAGCATAGGACCAGTTCCAAAAACTCCATGTGTGCTTGATTAAAAGTTGGCTGCCCCCAAGGGCTCCCAATGCAAACTTAAAGAGACAGGGCTTTGCCGAAAACCAAACAAGGGCCAGCTGGGTTTTTTTTTTTAACAACGTACAGGCTTTCCAGAGCTGCCTGGAACGGAGCCTGCTGGAAACGGGGCTCTCCCGACACACGTAGTTTCCTGCATGGCCTATTTTGTCCCCAGAATCTCAACAAAGTTTTCTTTCCTGTTCCTTCCTTTTGTGACCAAAAAAAAAAAAAAACAAAGGGAGGGGGGAAGGGGGACAGGTTCCGAGCGTTGAAAAGTGCCTTGTGACCAGGGAGTAAGATCCCTAGTTCTTAGGTGTCCTGCCCTCTCTTGTCCAGTTCTCAGCCTAGCTGCTGGGGTGGAAGCCAAAACCCCAGCAGGACAGAGCAAGCCCTCGGCACTTACACGTTCATTCAATAAAGCCAAGTGCTGGCTTCTCTCCTAGAAAAGTAGGTTTCCTGGCTTGAGTCTGGCTTGCTTTGATTTTGATGGAAGGGATGGTATCCAAGACAGCTTCAATGGTCAAAGGAGAGAGACACCTGTGTGTGTGTGTGTGTGTGTGTGTGTGTGTGTGTGTGTGTGAGAGAGAGAGAGTGTGTGTGTGTGTGTGTGTGTGTGTGTGTGTGTGTAGAGACACCCCTGTGTGTGTGTGTGTGTGTGTGTGTAGAGAGACACCCCTGTGTGTGTGTGTGTGTGTAGAGAGACACCCCAGTGTGTGTGTGTGTGTGTGTGTGTGATGACCACTGACAGAAGGCCACAGCGTTGGGCAGCTTTGAGAAGTGGAACAAGAGTTGTGTGCCTGTGTGTCTGACCCTGGAGCTGGTGGGTGTGTTTATTTTAAGCTTTTAGAAGCAGTTCATTGACACCCCCTATAAGTCCATAGTTATCCCTGTGTTCCCTTCTCCCCAGCTTACCCACTGAACTTGGCATGGTAGGCTACAGGGGGTCCTGCCTCTGATCCCACTCTCTTCTCACGTGTATTCATGACCTTTAACTTCACTTTCCAACCGCGGTACGTCCATCAAGACAGTATTACACTTAACTGAAGTATTCCTTTTTGTAATCGTTTTTTAGAAAGTAAAGGAATTTAATAAAGCTACCTTATGATTATGCCAAAGCATCTGTGTCTGGTCTTTGTCTTACTGTACTACTCTTGAAGTTTTAAAATAGATCTCTTTTTTATTTTTATTTATTTATTTATTTTTTATTTTTTTGCCGTATGTGGGCCTCTCACTGTTGTGGCCTCTCCCATTGTGGAGCACAGGCTCTGGACGAGCAGGCTCAACGGCCATGGCTCACGGGCCCAGCCGCTCCACGGCATGTGGGATCCTCCCAGACCGGGGCACGAACCCGTATCCCCTGCATCGGCAGGCGGACTCCCAACCACTGCGCCACCAGGGAAGCCCTATTTTTTTTTTTTCCAATTTTTTCTTGCGGTTAGCGGGCCTCTCACTGTTGCGGCCTCTCCCGTTGCGGAGCACAGGCTCCGGACGCGCAGGCTCAGCGGCCATGGCTCACGGGCCCAGCCGCTCCGCGGCATGTGGGATCTTCCCGGACCGGGGCACGAACCCCTGTCGCCTGCATAGGCAGGGGGACTCTCAACCACTGCGCCACCGGGGAAGCCCTAAAATAGATCTCTTTTTTAAAATGGACTTATTTGAACAATGTTCCAAGCTACAGAAAGGTGACAAGAATATTACAATAAATGCCCTTATGCTCTGCCCTACACTGGCACTATCCAATACTATAGCCACTGGCCACCAGCCACCTGTGGCAATTTCCATTTAGATGTAAATCAACTGTAATTAATTCATGGTCAGTAGCTGCATGTAGTTGGTGGCTACCCTATTGGGCTGCAGAGATACAGAACACTGCCATTGTGGCAGAAAGTTCTAATCAAACCCATTGTGGGTGGGACTCCCCTGGTGCTGCAGTGGTTAAGAATCCGCCTGCCAATGCAGGGGACATGGGTTCGAGCCCTTGTCAGGGAAGATCCCACATGCCACAGAGCTACTAAGCCCATGCACCACAACTACTGAAGCCCGTGCACCTAGAGCCCATGCTCCGCAACAAGAGAAGCCACCACAATGAGAAGCCCGCGCACCTCAACGAAGAGTAGCCCCCGCTCACCGCAACTAGAGAAAGCCCGCATGCAGCAAGACCCAAAGCAGCCAAAAATAAATAAATAAATAAATAAATAAATTTTAAAAAGAAACCCACTGTGGGCAGAAAAAAATGTTTACTAATTGTTCTTTCCTCATGACAAAAGAATTTATAGTGATTGTAAAACACAAAGTTTAAGCAATACAAAAGCATTTGGCATAGTGGAGGGTGCCATGGTCCTACTTGGTAGAAATGCGTGCCATCGCCAATACTTTGGAGAATCTCCTGTCAAACCTTTTTCTTATAGGTTGGATATTAAAATACTTTGTTTTGCTGTTTCATTTTTTATTGAGGTGGCATATACCATTTGCATACAAGTCGTGTACAAAAGTGTACAGCTCCATGGCTTTTTTGTTGTTTGTTTTGTTTTTGCGGTACGCGGGCCTCTCACTGTTGTGGCCTCTCCCGTTGTGGAGCACAGGCTCCGGACCCACAGGCTCAGTGGCCGTGGCTCACGGGCCCAGCCGCTCCGCGGCATGTGGGATCTTCCCGGACCGGGGCACGAACCCGTGTCCCCTGCATCGGCAGGCGGACTCTCAACCACTGCACCACCAGGGAAGCCCTCCATGGCTTTCTGAAAAGTGAACATCTATGAGTCACCACCTCCAAGAAAGGAAGCAGAGCATCCTCAGCAACATCCCCCAGTCCCTGGGCCACTCCTCTCTCTCCCCCAAGGATGACTGATGATGGATGATTGCTCTCCTGATTCTCACTTCCTATGTTTTTCCTCTGGACTGTTCAACCAGGAGATAATGGGTGGTTTTCAGAGATTATAGGAAGTCCCAGAAATTTTATGCAAAGTTGTATATTTCTAAGTGGAAGGTCCACTGATCTTGTCAGTTTTCCAGAAGGGTCTGTGAGCCAAGAAGGGGCCTTTCGGAAATTAAAAAGAAAAAAATTGTTCAGACGCTCCCTGGTGGTCCAGTGGTTAGGACTCGGTGCTTTTACTGCCATGGCCCGGGTTCCATCCCTGGTCGGGGAACTAAGAACCCACAAGCCATGTGGCATGGCCAAAAAATAAATTAAATTAAATTTAAAAAAATTGTTTCTCACAAGCAATCACCCAGGACCATTTCATCATCTTTGTTACCTTGTTCAGCTCATGCTTAAGACCCCATTCCCCACCCTCCAAACCCAGTGTCTTGCTTTGCTTTTTAAAATTACATGTCTGCCAAAAGGAATGAAATCGAGTTATTTGTAATGAGGTGGATGGACCTAGAGTCTGTCATACAGAGCAAAGTAAGAGAGAAAGAGGAAAACAAATACCGTATGCTAACACACATATATGGAATCTAAAAAACTGGTACTGATGAACCTAGTGGCAGGGGAGGAATAAAGATGCCGACGTAGGGAACGGACTTGAGGACACAGTGGGGGAAGGGGAAGCTGGGATGAAGTGAGAGAGTAGCACTGACATATATACACTACCAAATGTAAAATAGATGGCTAGTGGGAAGCAGCCGCATAGCACAGGGAGATCAGCTCAGTGCTTTGTGACCACCTAGAGGGGTGGGAGAGGAAGAGTGGGAGGGAGGCTCAAGAGGGAGGGGATATGGGGATATATGTATACACATAGCTGATTCACTTTGTTGTAGAGCAGAAACTAATACAAAATTGTAAAGTAATTATACTCCAATAAAGATATTATAGGGACTTCCCTGGTGGCACGGTGGTTAAGAATCTGCCTGTTGGGCTTCCCTGGTGGCGCAGTGGTTGGGAGTCCGCCTGCCAGTTTGGGAAGATCCCCCATGCCACAGAGTGGCTGGGCCTGTGAGCCGTGGCCGCTGAGCCTGCACATCTGGAGCCTGTGCTCCGCAACGGGAGAGGCCACAAC